CTTCCCTTCCCTTCCCTTCCCTTCCCGTCCCTCCCCTGTATAACCTTGTTCTAAACTAACGTGTGTGTGTGTGTGTATCTTTTATCTGTTCAGGAGAAGGCCACCCTGAACGCCAAGTTCAGCGGATAGCTGAGCGCGCCCCAATCACCGAGCACCATACGTCTTGACGAGGAGGGAACCATTTCGGTTCTCCATCGTCCATTTCGGTGACCAAGACGGCAGCATTTACTTTCGCTAGGCGATGGAGAGGACCAGGGGGGCTTGTTTTAGTTCACGTCTGGAAGGATACGATCACGAAGGCAGGACGCAAGCCGCACATACTTCACACCAGGTTTTAGATGTTAGGTCAAGGCATATGGTCAAACGTTTTTCCTTTAGAAATTATTATTATTATTATTATTACTATTAGTCCTTTTTTAATAAATTAAGTTGAAAAAATCCAACACAAATTTTCTTACCAATCATAACGAAGAATATTAATCAATATAATAACAGGGGACGGATTTTCTTGTACAATACTGCTGCTTTTTCACCTGCTTGCACTTCCTTTTTATTTGATTTTTGAATTCTGCACGAATGGAATTATTTCCATTTTTTTCCTATTTGATTTGATCACAATTTGTCTCATTGAGTTCCAGAAAGCACTTTGTGATGAGAAATTTGAATATGACATAATTATTGTACATTGTCAAGGTGTTTTGATTTCCACGCTTAGAGGAAGTTCATGGCATCTTTTTTTTCAAGAATTAAGGTCAACCACCCATCTTTTGTACATTCCATCCAACGAGTGTGGAAACGTTTTTGTAAACACCGAGTGAAATCATCCTCCCCTAAGTTTTCAACAGTCGATCAAATTTTTTTCACTACAAAAAGAATTATATTTTTGTTTGATCCGTTGCATATTTTGTATCATGCATTGGAGTTTGCAATCATGCCTACTCTTTTTTCTAAGCATAATTCCAAGTTTTCATTGTACATTCCCGCGCAAATTAACGCATACATTTTGTCCAGAAATCAAGTCCCCCTTTGAGAGTGACATGTGTACCATCAAGGGTCTGAAATGTTCTGCGCTTAGAAATGACTTTTGTTAGAGACAGACTTTAGTTTGTAGCCCACTACTGTTTAGTTCGCCGGTGTAGCTCCTTTCTATGTTTCCTGTTCTCAACATAGCTCGACTGAATGACTAGAGTGAATGGACTGCAAATATCATAAAATGATCTGTCACGGAAAACCAACAAACAAACTACAACTAAGAAAAAGCAAATACTCCAATTCAACGTGTCCTCCGTCTTGTAAGAACTGTCTTTCGGTTGGGATTACATCAACACTATGCAAGTTAATGCTGCAGAAATCAAAAAAGAAAAATACGAAATATAAAAAAATATATATAACAAAGTTGTTCTATTGGTAAAAAAGAGAAAATGTAAAAAGACAAAATGTTCGTTGTTAGTGCTGTCAGTTTTAAAAGGTTGTGAGATATGAATCTGTACTGATGAGATTATTTTTGATATTGCATAAAAAATAGATATATTAAACTCTTTTATTCCAAAAATTGTGCGTTTTTGCAAGGCTGTGTGTCTTCTTTTTTTTTTGTCTTTTTTTTTTTTTTTGGAACAATATTTTTAGCTGACGCAAGGCTCTCAGCTGATGTTTCTGTGTTGCAAATCCCAAATTCACTGTCTCTTCCTGCAGGTGCTTTTGGTGTATTTTTCTACCAGCTTTTTCTTCTTGTCTGTGATATCGCATTCCTTATTGCAGTGTTGTGAGCGCCTCTCTCCAAAACCACGATCACATTCCACGGGTGATCTTTTTGTTTGATAAGAAAAAAAATTTCTGTTGATCTTCTTGAAGGATATCTCTTAACATTCCAAATCAGGAAAAAGATTTATTCTTCAAAGGACCAGCAAATATAAAATTCATGCTCAAATATTTTCTGAGGGATTTTTTTTTCTTGGGGAGGGGTTCATGAACAAATTACAAATTAATTGATAAGAAGCATTAAGCAAGCAAAAATGTATACCAAACGCACGAGTACTTTGAAAACTACTGATGCTGCTTGCATGCATGAACAATGTGTGGTTTTAATTCTCTTGTTTTTTCCCTTTTTCAATGTGTGTCATTGTATTGCGATAAATACATGGGACGCATCCTCTCAATAGAGAATCTACAACTCTCTTCTTTTTTTTACCGTTTTTTTGTGGTGATTTTTATGTCATGTTTCAGCAGATTCTGTACGGTTGGCTTAGGTCATTTCCGATACAAGTCTGCCTGTGTGTTTCCTGTTCGTTGTCTATTGTGGCTTCTTTATTCCATTTCTCAGAATCTGATGCGAGAGGCATGGGGATGAGAGAGGATATAGATAGCATTCATATAGATTCTACGGTGCTCTGTGTATCAAACCTAGGGTTGAGATATTTCTCTTCAAAGTTAACAAATAAAAACTCTATATGTATCTACTTTGAGATGTGACTTGCTTCACTCTTTCAACCTTGCCGGCACGACTGGGCAAAGCGAATGGAGAATAATTATTGAAACTTTCAGTTTTCGTAACAGTTTTACAGCACTTGCAACACAATGAGATCATATAAGTGCTGAAGAATAGATGTGTTACAAGAGAGTAACATACACTACACAAAAAGAAGGAGGGGGGATAAGGAGGATATATATTTGACAGGAAACTGTACAAGTTTTACGCCCCCATCGACACTATTTAGATCATTTGGGAGGCGGGCAGTTTCGACCCAACCCTTCAGGGCCAACCCGGGCTGAGAGGGATACAACATCCAGCAGACAGACCCGGGCTGAGAAAGGGATACAACATCCCAGCAGACAGACCCGGGCTGAGAGGGATACAACATCCCAGCAGACAGACCCGGGCTGAGAGGGATACAACATCCCAGCAGACAGACCCGGGATGAGAGGGATACAGCATCCCAGCAGAAAGACCCGGGCTGAGAGGGATACAGCATCGCAGCAGAAAGACCGAGCCGAGAAACTCGATAGAAATTCTCTCAGTACGGGAATCGAACTCACGCCTACTGTGTCAGAGAGGCGAAGTGTGTAACTGCTACCCCACAGAGGCCGGGCCAATTGATGTACATATACATTGTATTATAGTCGCTGTTATGGACAAGCAGGCTATCCCAGATTTCGGGGGTTTCCAGAAATCTTGACGTACACCAAAAGTGGACTTTGCCCTACCTGTAGGAGAGGTTTGGTTTCATCGGTGTGTATATTTGTTTGGATATAGAGAAAACTCTCCTTGCCTTTTAAAGAAACCGAACAAGGGGCAAAAACTTTACCTTCGATTTTCTCAAAAAAGTATTTTTCGGGATAGCTCCATTGTGCTTAAAAGCGACCATAATATGACTGTTGGAAATGTTGGTCCTGTCATACAGCAAAAGGAGCGAGACACCCTAGAAAGTTTGGCTTTCTTATTAAGCAAAAACATGGAGCTCTCGTGTCCTAGAGATTAAGGTGTTGGCCTCTCATTCAAAGGTCCCGGGTTCGAATCCGGGTAGGGACGGAACATTTTTCTCTCCTATAATGGTCTCCTTTCAATCCTTCCCTGCTCTCTAGCAATGTTATGTCGTCTGCTCTCATCTCTACTTTCTGCCTTCACCTCCTCACCTCCTTTGCCCCCTCTTCTGAGCTCCTGACTCTTTCTGCAGCCTTTCTACTGCCACTCCTTGGCTCCTTTTTACTGCTGTCTTTCAGCCACACCCCTTATCTTCTGGTAGGAAAGATATACACCTAGCCTTCTCGAACAACAGCGAAAAATCTTGGAGGTCCTGTGAGCAAATTGCGCACGTTAAAGATCCCTTGATTGTCTAAAATCGATTAGAGTGGGCTTCGGCCGCCACCTGGGCAAAATTAAAAATATCCTACCTACTGAAAATGTTTAGTGTGTCCCATGCGCTCATATGATCTTATGCAGTTGCGAGCGCCGTAAAACACTTACCAAAAAAAAAAAAATACAGCAAGACAAGTGAGACACGATAGACAGTTTGGCTTGCTTATGAAACAACAACAAAACCAACAACAAAAAACTACTTGTTGGAATGGAAGGCAGCGACTGACGATAACGTACAGATGAACGCACACTGGGCAGTAGAGGTACACGACACACTGAACGACACAGTACAACTACATGGCACACTGAACGACACAGCACAGTTACATGACACACTGAACGACACAGCACAACTACATGACACACTGAGCGACACAGTACAGCTACATGACACACTGAGCGACACAGTACAACTACATGACACACTGAGCGACACAGCACAGTTACACGACACAATAAACGACACACACAAACACTGACAGACGAGACAAAAAGTGAACAGAGCCGCAGCCAACAAGAGAACTTCTAGTAGCACACGTCCACCATGACACACTTGTAAGCAGAAGACGGCTATCCCGAAAAATGCTGTTTTGAGAAAACCGAAGGTAAAGCTTTTGGACCCTTGTTCAGTTTCGTTAAAAGGCAAGGAGTTTTCTCTATAACCAAACAAATATACACACCAATGAAACCAAACTTCTCCTATAGGTACGGCAATGCCCACTTTTTGGTGTAGGTCAAGATTTCTGGAAACCCCCGAAATCTGGGTTAACCCGCTTGTCCTTAGAAGCGACCAATTGGGGGGTGAGCTGATTTGATCCTGCCTGTCAGAGCTAATCTAGGTCGCTTGGCGTTCAGCATGCTGCCATCCAGACGGAGATACCGATGATAATGATAATTTACGTGCACAGTGTACTTATCCAATACAAGAACGTACGCGAGACTCAACTCACGCACTTCTGTGTGCAACAACGAAGAGAGGTCGTACATTTGTTCTTGTTTGTTTTGTTTTAGTAGAGGTTTTACGGTGCTCGCAACTGCATAAGGTCATATGAGCGCCAGAAGATTAGAGGTGTTACAAGAGAGTAACAAACATAAAAAAAGAAGAAGGGGAGATAAGGACGACAGATGTTTGATAGGACAGAAGAAG